GCAGTAGAATATCTACAATTTTATTTTCAGCTGCTATAATCTTTTTTTTTTTTAATAGAATTTGTAGATTACTTAAGATATACTTTCACAGTTTTGTCCTATGTTCTTCTAGTAATGTTTTTATTATGCTTAAATACATTTTCTTATTTTACTGTGTACATTTTTAGAATCTGTTTCGGTAGGGTAGGCAGTTGTGAATGCTGTCATACCTGAGTCACAATATGAAGTCTTTTAAAAGCATACTTACCATCATGACTTAGTCTGTGTGACACTGCAATAGTTCCAGTGAATCTGGTAGCAGTAGACAGGAAAGAATGTACTAAAAGGCTGTCCAACAGAAACTAGCTGTATCTGAGGGTAGGATTATAGGAAAACTGAGGTTGTATCTTTTGCAGGTTTTCTTTTGAAGGAATTAAACTGAAGGGAATACTATTTTAAGGAATAGATACTCAAGGAGGACAGAAATGCTTAGCTGGATGTTGTTACTAATTGCTCTTAAAGTAAACTTGTCAGTTAGAAGGTCTGTTTTAAGTTGGTGAAACTGAAATCATAAACTTGAGCCTTCACCCAGAACAAAATACAAACATAGCATATGAGTACTTCCTTCTGCAGTTAGTGAGTGTGGTTAATTTTACTTTTTCACTAGCATTTGCAAAAGTATGCAATTGTTCATTTGCTCTTCAAGGAGCAACCACCTCTTGCAACTTCCATATTTTAACTTTTTGTATTGTTACAGGTAGCTTCAGTTTGTAAGTGTTCTCTCTGTCAAATCAGTATTAGATTTTGGTGTGTCTTTTTTCTTCCTTTGGAAGGGTAGTTGTGTGGGTTTGTTTTTTGTGGTTGTGTTTTTCTTCCCCCCCCCCCCCCCCCCCCCCCCCCCGTGGTTCTTGCTTCAGGTTAGGTTTTGGTTGTGAATTGACTGGATTTTGATGAATGTTATGGTACTAAAGGCTTTTTTTAAGGAGGAAGGTTGTGGTGTACCTGTGTACCTGTCCTTGCAACTTTTCCAGGGCCCTGCAAGTCCTGTCCCATTCAGGGAGTCGAAAATTTCCTCTCCACCTATTACACTGCTGAAACTTGGGGTTTGGGATGTGAATCTTTGCAGAGGCACAGTCATTATGACGCTTTTGGGATCAAAACTCTGGTTTCAATTCTAGGTGTGGTGTTATTTTACTCTCTACTTGTTTTTGAAGTAACTACTTTGACAAATGATTTTTGTTTTTGTTTCACACAGAGATTTTAGGTAACTTAGCTGCTGCTTTCTTGGTTTCAATTTTGTAGTCTTAAAAGGCCTTCTCCCTCTTGAGTAATTATGTTGGCTAAGATAATCCTTAGATGTTTTTTCGTTAGAGCTTATTCTTTTAACCTCCCTATTTAGAGTTATTTTTCTAACCTTTTCTTTGTATACTTAATGACCAGGGCAACAGAAGAGAGATTAGCTGCCATGACAAGGAACAGAAAAATCCTCGCTTTTTACCGGAGTTGTTCTGTTTTTATGGCTTTCTTCAATTTAGGACACAATTCCTTTTCTTAAAGGAGAACTTCCATGTTAGGCTAGTTTTGAAACAAAGCTCTTTCAAACAAAAGACAGGTGTTTGATGTCATGTATCTTTTCATTGGTAAATGCATTCATTCTTTGAAACATGATGGCCTCTTTCTAGCTACGCACACTAACTTTGCCATTGTGATCATCCAGTGTTAGAGAACCTTGTTGGGGAAGTTGTCATGGTTATTCTCACAGTGTCTGGGAGCAATATGGGTAGTATTGAACAGAAGAGGGGCTCTTTCCTTGAAGAAATTCTCATAAATGCATAATCTCTCCCCCTGAGGAATAACTGCGTACTGATTTCTGAATGCAAACTGCTTATACATTTGTGCGTTGATAGCACCTTTTTAAAAAAGGGACTTTGCCAAATACTCTATAAACAGTCTCCCAGTAGAAGTCAGATCTTTTCCACTGTCATCTGCTTCTCCTGGAAATCTGGTGCTTTGAACTTGGATTTGTTTTCTGTATTTGTGATGAAATTTGAAACCAGGCTTTTAATTTTTTCCCCTCAACTTGTTAGCAGAGCGGTCGTGTCCCAGCACTGTGTTGAGAACATGAATTCATACGTTAACTCTTGCTCCCTCTGCGGGCTTCGTGGCAGAACGACACGAAATACTGCAAGTTTTCTGTAAGCTATTGCTTGCATTGCTTATCTGGGAGCTAAGGTAACCTATGTCCATCCCATTTTTAAAATCAGAACGCTTTCTTAGCGTGCTTTGGGGTGAGATGTAACACCTTGAAACTGTTCTGTTTATCAGTTGTCATCTTCCTTCTCTTTATTCCCAATCCTGTATGTAGTATTGTTAACAGCAATGCAAGTTTTCTTTGACAACACCTGTATCTGTTCAGACGTTCTCATCCTAAAGTATTTTACAGCCTTTGCTGACAACTAACAGTAAAGATAAAAATAAAACAGTAAAGAGAAAAGCGAGCTACAAACAAAACCGATCCGAGATATGAATTTTAGCCAAGGAGATAAAAAATATGCTGAAACCTTTACATACAGCATATATTCCATTCTGTTCTTCAGAAACTTGATTGGCTGTTGATGTTTGTTTTTAAAACAAATGTCTACACCTGACACTTGAAGTCTCCAAGGCTATCTCACCAGTTGCTGAAGAGTGAGTGTTAACATGTACCTTAACCCCCGTATGAAGGGAGATAGTTTTCACAAGGAGGGATCTATATTATATTTTTCACTGTCTTTTTACTACATTTTTCACAAGTTCCCAAAAGACATGTTGAGGATGGTAGTTGATAATGGATACTTGCAATCTGAAGGGAAAAGGTGAGGCAGACAAACATCAGTTCTTTCCTGCTCTTCCAGCTGTGAGACTGTACTTTAATCTGGAAAGGCTTAGAGACGTTAGTGAATAAGAAGTCTTTCCTTACTGTTGTTCCTTTTCTTCAATTTATCCTTTAATAAACATGGAGTGGGAACAAATAAGATAATCTGCCTTCAATTGCATGTGGCATGTTAGCTGTGGAAATTCCCAGCTTCATGGTAGTTGTGCCAGTTTAGGAAGTACTCAGAGTTCACATTTGGACTGTGGAATATGCAACAGAGGTTTTACAGCAGATATTTTTACATTTGCATATAGTACAGCAATCAGTCCTTTTCTGTCCTTTTTGCACCTTTTTACAGTTGCTGGTTCATGGTATTTCAGAAGTTCTGTAAGTGCCTCTGCCCCAGTAGGCTGCTATTTTCAGTTCTCACATTTCATAAATTTCTCCTGTATTTCGCATGTATAAGCACGTGTGTGTGTTTGTATATATATATTCATGCCTTTCTAATTTACATAGGAAAAAGGAGTTAAAAATGCTTATGCAATTTTTCTGGGCTAAATGGAACTATTTTAGGAATCAAAAAGTTTTAGAAAGCTAATGTCTGACAATCAAAAAAAGTTTTGAAGTGGTAAACGAACAAGAGAGGGTTTACATCCAATTTGTGTTTGGAACCAGAAGACATATATGTCTTTATGATTGGCATAGGGAATGTAACTAGTACTTTAACCCAAGTCTAGCAGGGGAGAAACTTGAATCCCTTCCCATGTTTTTAGATTCCCTTACTTCCTGGTAAGAATAAGGGGCAATTAATAAGTGTTAGCTTTGTCTTGCATGTTTCTGCTATCACACACTTTTTTTATTAAGAGTTAATACTACGTTTTAACATTGGCTACTTTTCAGTCTTTCCTGCAGTTTCGTGAATGACATAATTTCTAGATTTGTTAGGAATGGGTTCTATTTGGGAAGCACTGCAGATAAGTAATTACCAGGACTAAATTTTAAGTGGGGTCTTCTGCAGTCTGTTGTTAACTTAGCATTCTTCGTCACGCCTGCTTGAAGTGGTGATGACACATGACCATCCACATAAAAAGCTGTTTTTTTGAGTGAGTGGTCATGACTATCTGTAGCCGGTTCTGTTTGAGCAACTTTATCCTTCAGGAACTGAAGAAAACAAGCGATCTACTGCGAAGATTACTTGGCTCTTACGTTCGTTTTCTGGTTCTAATACTGAGGTCTCCACCCACGGAGACTGCTCATGCTGTGCTTTTAGGGACTGGTATATATATGGAAGGTTTCCACTATTAATGGGAGGTAGTTTACTAACCAGTATTCCAACTTCTTCAGGCCTGTGTATAATAAAAATAAACTGGGTTTTACAGTTCCATGCATTTTTTCTTGTATGTATTTGGAGAACCCATTTGTGGTGACTTGTGAAATACTGCTGCCTCACTGCTGTGTATGACATGATTGCAGGATCTTCCTTTTTATAATATTTACTAAAGGGCAAGGTGTAGTATTTTGACATAGGCTTCCTATTAACTACTGAGAATGAGGCAGCCTTATGTAATGCTTCTGTATTTGGAGTGTAACCACTGAGGAATGATTATCAAGAAATTTGGCCCTAAGACAACTTCTGTTTTTTTTTAATTTGATGAAATAGAAGTTAAACTTTTGTTGTTTAATCAAAAAAATTTAGTAATACTTAGTCAACACCTTTCTCTCATCCCTCAAGCAGTTACATTTAACTGGTATAGCAAGAGTCAGGTATTACTCATCCATAAAGGACTGGCACATTTTCAAACCTTACATGGTCTCATCTTCAAGTAGGTAAAATTCGTTAAATATCTTCAGAATAGAGAAGTACACAGTATGACTTGCGTGGTGCATTCCTGTAATTACTGTAAATCTAAGGCATGGTAATGTTATTAAATCTGGTATACTAGCACCTGCACCTTAAATTTTTCTAGGATTTAATCATTGTGAAAATCAAATCCTGCAAGAGTGTTTAGCTTGCTTTCTGAGTCTTTGATGTAGTCAACTTACAAGAATTGTGTGCTGCTTGTCTGAGGAAGAGATAGTGAAGATTCTCCTCTGCCTGATTTCCTTGTAGTTTCTGTTTAGAAATCATTATTTTTGCATTTAAGACAGTGTTTTTCCTTTTCTTCAGTTTCTAAGGGAAGATATGCAATACAAGGATGCCTCTAATAAACATAGTCATCTGCACAGAGAAGACAAACACATCACCATTGAGGATCTGTGGAAGCGCTGGAAAACATCTGAAGGTAGGTAAAGGAGAACAGCTAAAAATGATGGTGTTTATTGAAATAGACATAATTCAACAATTCTTCCACCAAGTAGTCTAGAGTAGTAAATGGATGACCTCTTAAAGTATCTTCATTAATCTGTTTTGGTACTGTAATTTATAGCTGTATGTAAACCTGACTAAAAACTCATTCAGTCCAGCTAGTGTTGATTTCCTTGAAAAGTCCAGAATGTTTGAGTTGATAGGAGAAAAATACTTAACTTTGTTTCTCTCCACACCATTCAGATGGTGTATTGCTAATAGTGAGCATACAGAGATCTGAAAGTTGGTGTTAGTCAAACAGCTAAAGGTACTTTGTTTCTCTCCACACCATTCAGATGGTGTATTGCTAATAGTGAGCATACAGAGATCTGAAAGTTGATGTTAGTCAAACAGCTAAAGGTAGGAACAAAAGACAAATGAAACTAGGAACATGCCATTGATTCATTCTGCTAATGCAGGAAGTCATGTAAGTGCAGCCTGAGGTAATACATTAAGTGCTTGCTGTGTAGTAAATATCTACATTTCAACCAGCAACGTCTAGGTTTGAATCTCTTCAAATATTCTGTAAATACTTACTCACTAAAGATGTTGTCCAATGAAAGTATTGCAACTAAATTATCAGATAAAATTATCTCTACAATTGTTTGTCTAACTTGAGTAACTCTTCAAAAATTTAGGTCATAGTGATATCAGAAGTATCTAATTTGTCTATTGTGTATATCTTTGTTCCAGGTTTCTTGAATGTAGTGAGCAGTGTGAATAAGACTTAAAAGATTTCAAGAGGACTGTTTGGTCTTATTGTGTCTGCTTTATAATGGCTTTACTGTGCATCCTGTTGAGGAAACTGAAGTTGCACCACAGGGAGGCCCTTAGATTGAGACTCCCAACCAGTGTTAACAGTGGTCTGGAAGTTACAAAGCACAAAGCCCCTCAGATAATAAATTACTTTCAGTTAATATTAGGTAACATGGAAAATACTGTTTTTCCTTTCAAAATGTTTTAGAAATTTTAATTTTTGTTTCTTACGTGCTGCTAGTTTATAGTACCAGTTTAATGCAATTTGGCAGCATTAAACAAGAGGGTGGAAAGTAGTGTAAATGATGGTATCAGTAATTTGAAACTTCGTTAAGTAGTCTGTTCAGATATCTGTGCGAGAATTACAAGCTCTAAATAGTGCCTTTGACTGTGCCCAATAGTGCTTATGCAGAAACATCTTTTGGATATGTTGCTGCTTAGTTTATGCTGAGTAGAATTGCCCATTTCTTCCCGTAAAGCATGCGTTATGTGGGTGTTTGTATTAAGTAATTGCCAAATAGCTTGAAGTTGCCATCTGTTTAAGATATTGGTGATGAGACAGATAAGATTTGAGGGAAGAAAGTAAGATTCTGATTGATTAAGAAAAGCAGAGGTTATTTTTTAATTGCTTGAGAAGGATCTTACACAGTGAATGGAACCCTGAGGATACGCTCCATTCAAAGCCCTAAAAATTGCTTAATAAAGGCAGCTTCAGAATATTGTTTTTTAACGTTTCTGGCACTGGGCAGGCTTTTGTCATCCCCACCTGCTGCAGAATCCTTAAGGCATAGTCTGTACTGATGCAAATTAAAGGAATTTCAAGGCTGCTGTAGCTTTTACCTGCATGGAAGGAATCTTACCATAGCTTAAATCAGCATCTAGTGTATTGTTGCTGTATTGCCACACAGTTTCATCGAGTCCTTTAGTACAAAACAAGACTGCCACTTAATTTAGTTTAGTTGATGTTGCTTATGGTTTTTGTGACCATTTAATTTTTTTAATTTCATAATGTAATTCTACAGGGAGAGCTCTGTTCAGAGGAATGTCTGGCATAGCTGTTTTGGAAAGTGTTTTCTGTGCTTTCAAGTCCTCTGACTTCTGTTATTGTGTATGTCTGTTCAAATGTAAATGCCAGCATATGCTTGTTGTATGGTATTTGCTTTGACTATCTCCTTTTTTTCTAACTATGATGTATTTATACATATACAGAGCCTTTCAGCTATTCTAAAATACCAAGTTTAGTAGCTACTGTTGGATTAAAATCAAAGGTGCATCTTCAGTATTTTTTCTACAAAGGCTTCTCTCCTGCCTTGTGTGTATATTTTTTTTTTTTTATTTTAATTCTTTTTTCCTTCTCTGTGGAAAGTAGAAGGTGACCTAAAGTCTGGTACCTTAATAGGGGAAAAAGATAAAAAGTGGCTTTATGTGTGTGTGATCACCTGTTGTGTTCTGAGGTAATGTTGCACAAGTATTCTTGCAGCAACTGGGACTAAACTGCACACTGCAAATATGTTATAGTCGCCTTGCATTTTCTTAATCTTTTGCTTTGTCAGGTTTTAAAAATCCAGAGATTGGAAATGCATGCAAGGAAGGTTTAGCTAAGGATGAGTAACATAATGCTGGGTGCTGTTCCAGGCAGAAGCAGTACAGTGTGGCATGCTGGCCCTTCTGCATGAGAGGAAACGAGATGTAATGTTAAACTGTTGAAAAAATAGTTAAGGTCACTCTTCTTTTTTGCTTTGTCTTACTATTTAAAAGCCCATGGGTGGCAGCGTATTTCATGCTGATGTTGATGCTGAAGGTCCTGCTAAAACAAAACTAACTTTTGAATCTTTGTGTTTGCTTGATACAGAAAAGTCTTGTGTTCTTCTATGTTGCCCGGTCAGCCTGTTCTCAACTTTAAGCCTAATATATGGCTGTCATTCACTCCTTGCCATGAAATACTCTTACAGAATGTAATTTGATTTCTGAAAGGAGTAGGAAGCCTATAGGAGTACTGAGGCTGACACTGTAATGTTTTACCTCACACCTCCCAGCCCTGAAACACTGTGCTACATGATAAATTTAACATGAAAAAATTATATATAGCCCGATCTTCTAATCATCCATTAACGTGGGTTAGTAAGGATCAACTTTCATATCAACCCAGATTTGTGATCTGAAATAGAACAGCATATGCAAATCTATAGACTGAGTGCTGCATGAGGGTGTAAACACTGTGGCTTCTACACCTGCCTGCCCAAGGCATATTGCTCACATCCTCTCCCTCAAGATGCCTGTTTGTGAAAACAGGTGTGAGAGGGAAGGATGTTGTGATTTACTCTTTAATGCTATGTGTATTTAACACTATAGTAATTGTCAGTTGCTACTCCACTTTCTGAAGGACTGTATTCTTTTTGGGTGATTAAAATAAGGAAAAGTTACAACCTCAGTTAATTAGTAGGAGCTGGCACATTCTAATTGGCAATGCTGATTGAGATAAATTTCAGCAGGCCTGCTTGCCTTTCAGTACACCTGGTGTATATCACTTGTCTTCTGTCATGTTTCAGTAGGCTGTAACTGCTTCTGCTGAAGAAAGTCCAGTTTGCTCTTCAGTACTGCATGCTGGTGTAGAATATACATATATGTTGGTCATAAGGTCTTATTGAAGACAAGTCAGTCAGTACTTCTTACCAATATATACCATATAGAAGATATCAACAAAAAGAAATATTCTGAACGTTTTCATTGATATAAATCAACCTCCAAGGGTTCTGATGCTGTAAGAAAGGGAGGACAGGGTAGTTTAGGGCTTGTTCCACCTGAAAAAATTGGGTATTTGTGGGCACTGACACTGGAATTCTGCTAATGCAGAATTAGTTTACGTAATAAATTTAAATATGCCAAGAAATATGTGCATGGACAGAGATTCAGATTGCGAAATACCAGAATTGGAGTTGACTGTATGTATGGATTATGCTTTGCTTAAATGTCGAGTGGCCTTTTAAAAGCACACAACATGTACCAAAAGATAATTGATTCTAACTTTTATGTAAACAGGTAACATTGTAAGAAGAATACAGAAAGCACAAGTTCCAATTCTAGTTTGGGATAGACTGGTTGCTTCTTTTTGCAGTTTCTGTACTAATGGAAGTATCTGATACAGTGACAGATAGCAAAGTATTTTTCCCTAAATATAACTGGTTTGTTTGGGGAAATTTCTTTGAAACTCCATGAAGGAAATGTCACACCAGTCTAAGCAGTGGAACAGATGTGATTGGCTCTACTGTAAACAACTTCAATATGTACCTCATTTCTTATGATAATATGTTTAAAATTACTACTGAATTATAAGTAAGTACAAATTTACACATTAATTTGTGACTACAAAATACTTTCAGCAGTAGAGGTAAAATTTCTTTACATTCTTTTTTCTTCTTTTTTTTTTTTCCTCCCTCTCAATTTTATAACCTCAGTGAATTGTGAGGCTTCTGAAATTGCATGTTCCATACTGTCAGTGATAAATCAAGTCTGTAGTGTGTAGTAGCTATTTGAGGTGATTTTTTTCCTGTGTCACATCAAAACAATGCTTTTGCTTTAGATCAGTTTATAAACATATTTCCAGGATGCAGATAAGGTGATATTTTTCTGGATGATCTTACCACCCTTTTGAGATACTTAGAGTGACTTATAAATTTGATCACTTACAAAATGGTTAAGAATCTTTGTAATGTGAAAATGATCTGTTTACAAAGAGAGTCCAGACATTTTGCATGAAAGCTTAGAGTAATATGACAAAACTGAGTCTGCTGCAAGATCAATACTGGAAAACAGTTTGTAGCTCAAAAGCAGAGGAAGAAATGGGACATCGTGCTGGGAAGGAGGTGTAGCCATTCGTACAGAGGAATACAAGTGCTTTGTGCTGCAAGTTTATTTTTTAAAGCTGTAAGTGGGTCTGTGAAATGTGTTATGTCTCTGATTATCCTGAATGGTAAAACTGAAATGTTGAACCTTATTTTTCAGCTACTCTAGTGTAGACAAGAGATTTAGAAGTCCTCATTTAGGTTTCAGTGCAAACTGAAATATGAATTTGAACTCGTAAAAATTTCCATTGCCTGCAGCTTACCTGTCAAACTTTCAGCAGCTCTTTCTAAAGGATCGTTGTCAAAATTGAACACTGAGAATGTGTCCTTGTGATAAGGGTTCTAAAGAAATCGCATCTGTCACAAGCAAGTGGTTTTAGGTAGAGAAATGTTTAAAATAAAATAAGGTTCTTCATGCAAAGATATATCTGTATAGAAGGAGGCTGTTGCCTTATTTCTTTCATATGCAGACAAGCTTTTGCAGACTTCATAGTGGAGAGTACAATTTAAATCATCACAGAATGGTCTGGGTTGGAAGGGACTTTAGAGATCATCTACTTCTAACCCCCTTTCTGTGGGCAGGGACACCTCAAGTTGCTCAAAGCCCTTTCTGACCTTGCCCTGAACACTTCCAGGGAGAGGACATCCACAGGTTCTCTGGGCAACCTCTTCTAGTGTCTCACTGCCCTCACTAAATAATTTCTCCATTATATCTAATCTAAATCTACCCTCTTCCAGTTTAAAACTGTTACCCCTCATCCTATCACTGCACTCCCTGATAATGGGTCCCTCCCCATCTTTCCTGTAGGCCACTTCTAAGTATTGGAAGGCTTCCCAGAGCATTCTTTTCTCTAGGCTGAACAACCCCAACTCTCTCAGCCTGTCCTTGTAGGGGATCATCTTCATGGCCCTCCTCTGGACCCACCTGAGCAGGCCCTTGTCTGTCTTAAGCTAGGGATCCCAGAGCTGAAGACCAGGTTGGGTCTCTCAAAAGTGGAGTAGAGGGGGAGAGTCACCTCCTTCAACCTGCTGGCCACACTTCTCTTGATGCAGCCTGGGATACAATTGACTTTCTGGGATGTGAGCACACATTGCTGGCTCATTGTTGGTTTTCCATCCACTAATACCCCCAAGTCTTTCGCTACAGGGCTGCTCCCAAGCCACTCATTGCACAGCCTGTATTTTGCTTGGGTTTGCCTTGACCCAGGTGCAGGACCTTGTACTTGGCCTTTCGAATTTCATGAGGTTTGCATGGGCCCAACTCTCAAGCCTGTTAAGGTCCCTCTGGATGGCATTCCTTCCCTCCAACGTGTTGACTGTATCACACAGCTTGGTGGCATCGGTGAACTTGTTCAGTCCCACTGTCCACATTGCCAACAAAGATGTTAAACAGCCCTGATCCCAGTACTGACTCCTGAGGAAGGCCACTCATCACTGCTTTCCACTTGGACATTGAGCTGTTGACTGCAACACTTTGAGTGTGGCCATTCAGTCAATTTCTCATACACCGAGTGAAAATCCATGTCTCTCCAATTTAGAGACAAGGTTGTCGTGTGGGACAGTGTCAAATGCTTTGTAGAAGTCCAGGTGGATGATGGCAGTTGTTTTTCCCTTATCCAACGACGCTGTAACACAGTGACAGAGGGCCACCAAATTTGTCAGGCGTGATTTGCCCTTACTGAAGGCATGTTGACTGTCACAATTCAACTCCTTATTTTCCATGTGCCCTAGCTTAGTTTCCAGGAGGATTCATTCCATGATCTTGCTGGACACAGATCTGAGACTGACTGGCCTGTACTTCCCTGGGTCTTCTTTTATTCCCTTTTTAAAAATGGGGGTTATGTTTCCCTTTTTCAAGTCCAGTTCATCAGACTGCTGTGACATTTCTCAGATATGATGGGTAGTGGCTTAGCCACTTCATCAGCCAGTTCCCCCAGGACCTGCAGATGCATCTCATCAGGTCCCATGGACTTGTGCACCTTCAGGTTCCTTAGATGGTTTCAAATCTGAGCTTCTCCTACAGTGGGTGGTTCCTCATTCTCCCAGTCCCCACCTTTGCCTTTTGCATCTTGGGCAGTGTGGCTGGAGCACTTGCTGGTGAAGACTGAGGCAAAAAATAGTCGTTGAGTACCGCAGCCGTATCCATATCATGGGTAACCAGGTCTCCCACTTATTACCTTAGAGAGCCCGCATTTTCCTTAGTCTTCCTTTTATCAATGAGGTACCTGTCATTTCCTCCTTGCCCTTGACATCCCTGGACAGATTTAATTCTGTCAGTGCTTTGGCCTTCCTGACCTGATCCCTGCATACTCAGACAGTTTCACTTCTACTTTGTCAGCGTGAAGCTGTAACAGCTGGCTTGTAAGGGCTAGAAATGCGGGTTTTGATGGTGGTGGGTTGGTTTTCATTTTTCGGTGGTGTAAAAATCTATGGGGTAGTATTTTCTTATTTTATTAGAGCATCTGTTGCTATGAAAGGTTATGCAGACTGTGGTTGTTATACAGGGAAATTATTAATTATTCTCTACATATTTAAATAATGTTTTCTTAGTGGGACTGTTACTGCATGTAATACAGCTGTTTTGGGCATATTTGAGAGAGATTTGATTGTTTTTGTGTTAATTTTTTTCTGTCTTTCTGTATTTTCTTTCAATCTTATTTCTCCTCTGCCCCTCTTTTATGGTTAATAGGCGTGAGTCTCTATGAAGATTCTTGTGAAAACAAGTTCTTAAGCCGTCATCCTGGGAAAGATCTTGATACTTTGCCTTAAATGGCTACAGCACCTGGTGATGTGTTGAGTTCTGCAAGGGTAGTGAGGACAAAAGGATTGATGTGGAGATCAGTTTAAGTAGATAAAAGTCACAAGATGCTGTCCTGATTTAAATGAAAACAAAACACTAAATTATGCTGTGGAATTTTTAATAAGGAATTGTTTTTATTTGTTCCATGCTTGTTTGTTTATAGTTTGCCTAAGCTTCCTCTGAGAAGCATATAATGAAAAAGGCAAAATGCCAGAAATACCTTGATGAATGTTAATGCTAATTTTTCTGTAATTATATTTGGCTAAATTCTCTTGCTCACTGTAACCTGCTTTTCTATTGCTTGTCTTCTATGTCTTGCTATTGATTTTTAAAAAAATTAAAGGTAATTAAACTGACTTTTTCTTTCAGTTCATAACTGGACTCAAGAAGACACTCTTCAGTGGCTGTCAGAATTTGTTGAACTGCCCCAGTATGAAAAGAATTTTAGAGACAGCAACGTCAATGGAACAACACTTCCCAGGTGAACGTTTTTTCTGGACTAGTTTCAGATAATTCTAAGTTTCTGCTTTAGTCTGTATGTGGGAACAACTATGTGAACCTAAAGTGTAACAAGATATGGTCAAATGCAAGACGAGAAAAGTGTCCTTGCACTTTAGAAGGACTGGCTGCATTTTTTTTTCCCTGTCAAAATATTTCAAAATATAAAGGCTTTTTGCCACTTCTTTCATCTTAGTTTTATGTCTTACTGTTGAAGCTTTTGTTGATGATCGTGTAATTCTGTATGGTAGCAGACTTCCTTTTGAACAACTTCCAGTCTATTGTATGGATATACATCAAAAACTATCTACAGAACTCCTTTTCTTGAGCATAACTACTAAATTTGAGTATTAAATATATTTCAGAGGATTGGTGCCACAAGTCTACAAATATACCCTTATCTTTAACTATGCCAAATGGATTTATTTCACGCTTACTCTAGAAAGAAAAGAATAGGGAAATGATGTGATGTTCTTCCTTTGCAACATGTTGATATGCTTTTTTTTATACCACTGCTGTCTTTGTATTATATCTCTCACACTAATTGCATAACTATAATTATATAACTGTGGGAAATGCTATTGATGTATTTTTTTTCCATAGACTGGTTTTGAATATCATTTGTGGAATAGGTAATGTTTTGTCTTATCATTAACAGGATAGCAGTAAATGAACATGCTTTCATGATCTCCCACTTGAAAATAATTGACCGGAGCCATAGACAGAAGCTTCAGCTTAAAGCCTTGGATGTTGTTTTATTTGGACCTCTTACACGTTAGTAGCTTTTTGGAGTTTTTTCTTACCACTTATTTGCAAGAATTCAACAGAGAATATTTTCAGTGATACTTATTTTGTGGATGTACTGATGTACTGCTTGGCATGTATTGTAGTACTGGGAAATGAATTAAAAAAGGTTATCAAGATGGTGGGATTAGGACAAAAGTTCACTTTGTGTAAGATTATGTAGAAATTTTAGTATATCCCTGCTTGACAGACGGATGTTGTTTTTTGTGTCACAAGAAGTGACCTCTCAATGTTTCTGTTCAAATTACACTTGTGGCTAATGTTACATTCACTTCCCAATGAGCTTGGACAGTGTAAGCTGGGGTGCTGAAATGAGAGGGGATAACCACTTTGTGTTTTCCGTTAGCATCCAATGTATAATGCAATTGCCTTTTTAAAAGGCAGTTTTACAAAGATGCTACTGACTATAAAAGTTGTACTAACAAAGAAGTGTATGTGAATCTTGGATATGATACTTCGAGAATCCAGGTTTTGCTTTTAAAAAGTGCTGCTATTAGCTACTTACCCTTTTAAAATCTACTTTATCTTGTATAAATGAATTTTTAACTCGGCATAGTGTATTCCAGGGGACACAGACTGGAGAGAACTTAAATTTAACCAAAGTTCTTACTGGCCAGATAAAGTGTAATTTGGGGAACTCTCTCTTGACTCATTTAAATAAAGATACAGGCTATGTACTATAAAAGTTTAGTAAGATTTCCTCAAACTAATACATGTTTTAATATAGTTTAAGTAGATAGCATTAGAGAAGAGTTGCTAATATTGTATGGAAAATGCTCTGGAATCCATTTGAAAGATAGTTGTTGGAGGTGGTTTGAGATAAATGAGCTGGAATTCTGTTTAGTGTCAGGTAACCTTTTTTGTCTGTAACCTTTTTGGCTAGGGGGGGGTGAAAAGAAAGTCTGCAGTCTGTTTTCTGTATCAATGAACTAGTTATTGATCATGTTATTCTCTGCACAGGTCCCCCTCACAACTGGATGAAGGATTTTATATTAACAGTTTCTATAGTTATTGGTTTTGGAGGCTGCTGGTTTGCATATACACAGAACAGAACCTCAAGAGAACATATCACAAAAATGATGAAGGATTTAGAAAGTCTTCAAACAGCAGAGCAAAGTCTTCTTGACTTGCAGGAAAGGTATAAAAACTAAAAAAGTTCATGTTTAGTTGTCTTTTTCTTTTGAGGTTAAATATAAATACAGATCTGTTAGAGTGATAAATTATTTGCGTTAAGCTTCCTTTGGATTTTGTTTATCTTTTGCATTAAAATTTGATTTTTAGTGATGATGGGTTCTTGGGTAGAAATTGCTCCTAGATAATTTAGCAGGTAATATGAACTTTGGGATGAAGGTAGAGAATAGAGGTTCAATCTTTTTTACCTACAGATTTATGTAATTACAGTTTACTTTGAAATACTTATGTGGAAATGAGAACGCTTCTCTTTTTTCTGTTAAGGCTTTAGGATTGAAATAGACCTGATCTGGTTACTTTCTCTTGCTTATTTAACAGTGTGAGAGTTGATAGTTTTCTCTAGTGCGTCTGTAACTCAGTTGTCTATAAACACTTGTATTTTGGTCTTATTACACCTTTAATGAAGGTTCACCTAAAAGCATGTTTTGTCTGATGTGAACATCACGTGATGTGATGTAATTGCTGCTGATTTATGAAGCTTGTACAGTCTTTATCACAGAATGGTTGAGGTTGGAAGGGACTTCTGGAGGTCATCTTGTCCAGCCCTATCTGCTCATTCAGCATCATCTAGAACAGGTTGTCCGGGACTGTGTCCAGGTGGCTTCTGAATATGTCCAAGGATGGAGACTCTATCATCTCCCAGGGCAACTTGTGCCAGTGCTCAATCACCCTCATGGTGAAAAAATGTTTCCTGATGTTCAGACGGAACCTCTTTTGGTTTGTGCCTATTGCCTCTTGCCCTGTTGCTGGGCACATTTTCTTCTCCTGAGGACTGCAACTTTTAACAAATATGCTGTGTATTTTCTCGTTGTTTTTTTTTGTTCAATTGTGAAGGCTTGAGAAGGCACAAGAAGAAAATAGAAATGTTGCTGTGGAAAAGCAAAATCTGGAGCGCAAAATGATGGATGAGATCAGTGATGCAAAACGGGAAGCTCATCGCCTGAGGGAGTTGAGGGAGGGAGCTGAATGTGAGCTCAGCAGGCTCAAATACGCAGAGGAAGAGCTAGTACAGGTATCTACAAACCATTTATAATTTTAGTGTTGACTTTGAATTGGTTCTGGTTTTATTACATCCTTAGGAGTGTTTAAAGCAGCATTGCTCTAATGCTAGATTTGAATGGAAACATTCTAAGAGCACTTAATGATTGTCTGTCAATCATGCCATTAGTAAAATAATCCTGAAGCTATAGAAAGACATACACTTTGTATATTAGCTTATCATAATGTTGTTGGATTTGTGGAACAAAATATATACAAAATCTTTTTTCCCTGTCTTGTTATCAGATGAGAGATCATAGCTTTGTCTCATTCTTTTGAGTAGCAATAGATTGGATTTATTTTTCTAAATACAAATGCTGTTTTACAAAAATATTTAAGCTTCAAGTTAGGGACTGTATATCATAGGGAACAAAATTGAGTATAATATAGTATGTGGAAATTCATATGCTGTATTTTAGAAATGCCAGAGTTGCATTCCTGACAGCAATTGGGTTACACCACAGCTTTGTAAAGCCTTAGTATATTGCTGTGGGATATAAAGCTGTTTATATTTTCCTTTCTTCTGCTGTCAATTCTAATGATACTCTTGGTGACACTTTTATTTCTCTTGATTGCTAGGTTCGCATGGCTTTAAAAAAGGCTGAGAAGGAGTTTGAGTTGAGAAGTAATTGGTCTGTTCCTGAAGCTTTGCAGAAGTGGCTTCAGTTAACACATGAAGTTGAAGTACAGTATTACAATATCAAAAGACAGCATGCAGAAATGCAGCTGGCAATTGCCAAAGATGAGGTACTAACTCTTACTTGTCAGCTACTTAAAGACTTTTCTGATCTGTTGCTAGATATATGAAATAATAAATACAAATTATTTAGATAAGCATTTGGATATTTTTTTCTTCTCGGAGTTGTTGTTTTGCTGCCTGTCAATATTGCTAATGTTTTGTCATCTGTGTTAAGTATATAACTTCTAGTTTATGCAGTTCATTTTATCTTGCTTTTTAGGCAGAAAAGATAAAAAAGAAGAGAAGCACTGTATTTGGAACATTACATGTTGCACACAGCTCTTCCTTGGATGAAGTGGACCATAAAATCCTTGAAGCCAAGTAAGAGTATCATCAGGATGCATATTCTCTTGTGATTATTCTTGGAACAATGGTATTTTTTGGGAGTTAGGGAATTTATTGTTTTAGTGGTTTTACACTTTTAAGTAAAACAGTTTAAAAGATAAAGTGTGAATATGTGGACAGTCCTAACTGATCTTTGTGTTGAAATGACTGCACTTGTATTGCTTTGCCTTATTAAGAACAGTGTATGTAATTTTCATATGTGCTTTTCTTCAGGAAAGCACTCTCTGAGTTGACGACATGTTTGCGAGAGCGTCTTTATCGATGGCAACAGATTGAGAAGATTTGTGGCTTTCAAATAGCACACAATTCTGGGCTACCAAGCTTGACCTCCTCTCTCTACTCTGATCACAGCTGGGTAGTTATGCCTCGAGTTTCCATTCCTCCTTACCCAATTGCAGGGGGAGTTGATGACTTAGATGAAGATACTCCTCCAATAGTTTCACAGTTTCATGGTAAGTGGTGAGCTTAGTAGAAAGAAAGGGGAAAAGTTATGGAGGCGTGGGATTTTGAAGTCAGGTGGGAGAAGAGTGCTGAAATAAACAGGGTTGGATCAAAGTCAAAAGGACCAAAATTCTGACTGGCATTTCAGATGTAGCTTTTGAGACTTGCGTAAACTGAAAACTGGGTTTTGCTATAAAGATAACATGAAGAAAAAGCCTTTATTCTATTTCAGTGAGGGACTGGGGGGCAAGTTCAGCTAAGATTTTGAAAATCTGCTTGTCATAATTGGATTGCAACTTAAACCAAAATTTATAACACTGAATTTCTGTTAGCACGTTTATTCTTTCAAATGGAAGGGATGGTATTAGTCTAGGGTCCCTTGAGCTTGTAGGAAGATCACACCCTTTGAGAGGCTTCATGCTGCATAGCTTTTCAAATGTTCATTAGTGGCTGGAACAAAATGCTGTTGTTGTCCAAGGGAAGCATTCAGGCAGAATGTTTGTGTTTGAATACAGTGGGTTGTTTGAGTGTGAGACAGAGATGCCAAATGCTGGAGGGAGGGAAATTCAGCTTTGGTTAAACTATGATCAAAAGATATACACTGGGAATTCAGACCACCCTTGTATCTTGAGTCATTGTGTTAATATAAGAGCCTGTTTCATGGAAGTTGTAATTAACTGGACTCTAGAGGCAAATCAAAAAGATAAGCTCCCATGTAGCTATTCAAACAAGCAATATGAAGCTGAGGAATGAGTAGGGAAGAAAAATATCATATGTGTACTTTTTTCTTCCAGAGCTAGGGTTCTCAGAAGAAATTAGAACTGTATTTTAAAATAATATAACGATAATAGTTGCTGCTTGGCTGGCTTCATTTAGTGTGCCTTGGTGTCCTGGATTTGAGTGAGTGGTGGGCTTTTTGGGTAGCAGGGGAGGGGGCTACAGTGGTGGCCCCCTGTGAGAAGCTTCTCGAAGCTCCCCTGGCTCCAAGCCAGACCCACCTCTGCACCAAGGCTGAGTCAGCTGTGCCACTGTGATAATGTATTTAAGAAGGGGAACCTGGGAGGAAGAATTGGAGTTGTGAGGAGGAGTTGCAGCATCTGCATGAACATGAAGGTCAGTGGAGGAATGGAGGAAGAAAGGCAGGGAGGAGGTGTGTTGGAGCAGAGACCCCCCTGTATCATGTGGTGAGATGGCAGGGTGGACCCCTCCCCCCCCGCCACCCATGGAGGTCTACGGTGGAGCAGACACTGATATATGGCCTTTGGGGGGCCCCACGTGACCATTTAAGGTGGCTACACTAGAAGGTAGCCAGGACCCCTGTTGGAAGAAGCAGCCCCCGCTGTTGTAGTTCGATGCTGGCTGGGAGGATTGCAGCATGTGGGGCTGTCCCATGATGGAGCAGCTTGGGAAGGGCTGCATCCCGTGGGAGGGACTCATGTCGGAGAAAGTTTGTGGAGGACTGTCTTCTGTGAGAGGGGAACCATGCTGGAGCAGAGGGAAGAAGTTCCAGAAGTTCTCATCCTCCCTGCCCTCACCCCCCCTCCAAAGATTGAAGAAGCAGCAGCACAGACTGCATCCTGCATTCCCTGCTCCTGCGCCACTGTGGGGAGGAGGTAGAGATACTGGGAGCAAAGCTAAGGCTGGGGGGGACAGGCGGGAAGGGGGGAAATGAGCAGCTGTGTGGTGCTCAGTTGCCCTCTGAGCTCAGACCATGACACTTGGGCACACAATTTTCTTCTGAATGTACCAGACTTTTTTCTACAGGTCACACTGGAAAGTTCATTCATCCCCTTGCAATGTTACTTACTGCGGATTCTGATCGCTTTTAAAGCATATTGTCTCTGTAGTTACTTCACTGTGAAGGCTTTGATTTAAACTTTAGCAACAAATTTCTTCAATGGCCCAGTAAAATATGGGTGACTACGGTTAAACTTTCAGTCTGCGTGGAGAAACCTGTGGTCTGATTTCAAAATGAGGAGCTCCATTTGTTATCATGACTTTCCAGATGGTCTAAAGTGACAAAACATTTAAATGTGTACAGAAGACTTCAGACTTGTGACTTTTTTAGTCACTCTTCTCATTCAGATCTTGCACATAAGTGAAGCCAGAGATCAAAGTGCAGTTGGCTCAGAGGAACTATGATTAGAGGCAGACTGTACAGTTTGTAAGAGCATACTTAGTTGAAACTGTACTGTATGCTTGTGCAATTATGGTTTAATTTTTTTTTGTTACAGTTAAGTTCATTTGGAAGTATTTAGCTAATGGATGTTTCAGTCAGCGATGAAAGTTACCTGAATCTTAGTAACGTTACAAAAACTTTAAATCTGTTTTTCTGAATTTTGGTAAGGTAAGAGAGCCTGCGCTAGTTAAAGTGATCACGTGAGGGAAGTAGCTTCTTCTTAATTTACTAGCTTTTAAAATTTCTACTCAGTAAGAAGAACCCCTGGAAAGACTTGGGAGTGGGGAAAGAGAGGGAATATATGCTAAATAATCTTTTGTTAAAACTAGTTCAGGAGTCAAATTATTGTAGGTTAGTTTGGTAACTGCTAAATTATTCCCATCCTTTAGATAAAAATGACAAATGTGCACGAGGAAAGACAGAAGCAAAATGGCTTGTCTCGCATATGAGGCTTCAGGCAAAATGCAGTGTGCAGACAGGTCAGTTATGAGCAAGACTGTTTCATTCTCTGGACCTAAACTGAACTATCTGGGCTGTTACCTTGCCCCATCATCCTTTGATCTCTTAAGATGGACAACATTTGAAGCGTGCCAGACAGGCTTCTTTGTGCCACAGCAATTGCGATGATCTATTTAATCAATCCTGAGCTGAAGAACAGGAGAGGATAAAGAAATAGATGTAAGAGACTGGAACAAAGTCATTACAGGAAGGTGATAGTAGAACTTCTACTTTTGCATTGACCGATTAGGATTCAGATGTTTCCTTGATTTAGTGAGTTTCATTTTTACTGGGAAAATCTAGGTGTTAAATTGTCATAGCTGAATCCTTCATAATCCTGTGTGTATATACCTATAAGGAACTAAAATGCTTGTAAGTTCTCTGAAAATTCACTGATGGTGCAATCTTGTTTGTTTTTTTTTTTTTTTTTTTTTTGTTGGTGTTTTGTTTTGGTGTTTTTTTTTTTTTTTTGTTTTGTTTTTTTTTTTTAACACCAGTGAGTAGGATGGCATCTGTTTTACCTGGACACATACAAATTTCCTACAGGGATTCTTATTCTCTTATCTCAGGTCACATTTGCTTTTTAGGAATGTTTTTGTTATTGCACAAGATTATTTTTGAGCTGCCAACACCTACTCTTCAGCTCAGTAAGGACTTGTAAGCCTTTCTTTTCTGCTCAGCCTGGCAGGAAACAAAGTCAAAGTGTTGGCGAAGGTGCAGCTACTTGCTGTTTTGTGAAAGTTGTGATTTCCTGCATTAAAAGCAGGATGACAACTCAATCTTTTCTGAGATTCCAGGAAGGGAGACTGCACTTTACCTCATGCAAAACTGGCATCTCAAAAAATAAAATGTGTTTTGTCAGGCTAGACATCCTTGTCTATAAAAAGAATTGATTTTTTTTTTTGTGTGTTGTGTTTGGTAAACATTTTGAACATCAGTAGGGTTATGGTTTGTTTTCCCTAAACAGTGATGCATTCAGTGGGACAGTTTGAGGAGAGGTATGAGAAAGCCTAAGACTCATAACAGGTAGCCTGAAAACAGGTGTGGAGATTCATAGAAGTATTGCTGCCTAATCATCTTTTGAAGGAGGAACTGTTAGATACTTTCCTGGTAAAGTCTTGTTTTGCTGTCTCCACCCATTTTTAGTATTTTTGTTTCTGGAAATTCATACTCAGCCTGACAAAAGCAAGTGTTATCAAATAGGCAATTCCTGAGTTTATGATTAGATTGAGTTATATGTTTTCTATCATGTTATGTAAATAGAATTGGTGTTCCATGTTTAATGTAACTTTCAACTAATGCAATGTAATTCAGTTGGCTATTTTGTTAGGTATCCCTACATCGCAAAACTTTTACATAGTCTTTTAGGCTCCAAATTGCCACACAAGTTAAATACAGGATATTGTGTAACATGCTAATTTCAGCACTGCTATTTTTAGTGTATAAAGGGTTGGGAGTTTTAGTAGAATCTTTCTCTTTGTTCTCAAGAGAGCATAGTGAGCCAGAGCTTTGGTGCACATGGTCAGAGTAGTATTTGGCAAGCACAAAATTGCTGTAGTTGCATCTTGGTTAGCTGCTTCATTTAACTGTAGAATGTGTAAGGTGATGTCAGTCTTTCTTCCCCCTAAACAGTCAAGCAATATTAAAGTTGTCTAAGAATCACTGTGGCTGAAGCAGATACCTGCTATTTAGTTTTCAGAGTAGATATTGTTAACATCAATGTCACTTGGAGGGTTTTGGTTTGCTTTTTCTTTGCCTCAGGGTCCATTGTAAAACCTCCCAGCACATTGGCAAGAAGCAGTAGCTTGTGTCGATCAAGACGCAATGTTGTGCCATCATCTCCACAGTCTCAGCATGCTTTGCACTCCCCTGACCCTGACATCCTTTCTGTGTCGAGCTGCCCAGCTCTTTATCGAACTGAAGAGGAGGAGGAAGCCATTTACTTCTCTGCTGATAAACAATGGTACGGAGATTAGCAAACAGCACTTGATACTCTGATAGGATTATTTGAGACTGACAGTTTATAAATAGAGGTTGAACCAAGACAAAAGTTAAAGTAATCTATAGGATAATATAAATTAATATAGTCCACATAGAACAGAGAGAGTTCTTGTCTGGTATGTGTATGTAAATAGCTAGCATGTCATATACAGTTAAGTAATGTTACAATCCAGGGTGCACTGAACTAACCCTGATTCTCCATTACAATATGTTACTGGCTTTTACATCTGAAACTAGGATCAAAAGCAATGTCAGCTACTGGGCGAAGAGAAGATGGATGGTAACACAATTCTTACAGCATGTTGAGCGTGTACCTACTCTTGTTACATGGCCTCATAGGAAAAGGTTAAATTCCTTTTGGAAGGAGCAAATGAGCTTGTTGAAAGGTAGGGACACTTGTCCTGAAGAAACTTTTTGTATGTGATAGGCTTAAATCTCCTTCTTTCATTTTGTAACTTTTCTGACTTCATGTGCCAGAAAGATAGTTTTTGTTCTTTGACGTGAGATACAAATGACTGATTCTGGGCAGATGTTGCTGCTCACAAAACCAAGATTGGGCAAATTAATGATCTTAAGTTTAGATAATAAAATGATATAATGTAAGTTGTAACTTAAAATGTTTAACTTGATGTTCTTTGTTAATTAACTACTAAGGAAAAGTGTGGGTGGTGCTTGTAGACTAATGTTATTGATCCTAAATTAATTTCCTTTTTAACTGCATGAAGGAAATAATAGTTTCGTTATGTTTTCTCCTCTCTTTGCTCCAACTCAGGGAAGTACAGGAAACAGGTTCGGAATGTGACTCCTTAAATTCATCCACTGGAAGGAAGCAGTCTCCTCCAGCAAGCCTTGAGATGTACCAGACTCTTTCTCCTCAGAAAGTATCCCCGGAAGAATTCTCACTGGAGGAATCATCTACAGGAGACTCCTCTTCTCTAACTGCAGATATTTCTAGGGGTTCTCCTGACTGTGTAGGCATGGCAGAAACTAAGAGCATGATCTTTAGTCCTGCAAGTAAAGTTTATAACGGAATCCTGGAGAAGTCCTGCAGCATGAACCAGCTTTCGACTGGGATCCCAGCCCCAAAGCCTCGGCACACTTCCTGTTCTTCAGCCAGCAGTGATAGTAAACCCAGCCATGAAGCTGCTTCAGTCCCTAGGATAAGTAGCATCCCACAGGACCTGTACCAAAATGGTGAAAAAAACAAAAAGCCATCGAAAATAAAAAGCTTCTTTAAGAAGAAGTGTAAGTGAGGTGGGCAGAAGAAACGTATAGTAATGTTAAAAGAACTCTATTTTTTAAATCTTTAGGAATGTAATTCCATTTGAGCATTCCAGACTGGATGCCCTAATGGAATGCTCTGTAGGTCAACTATATTTAACTGACTGTACTGTCAAAGGTTGTGCCAGCTGTCAATGAGAAATCATTAAAAAGTTCAGACAGTTTACATTAATTTCTGCCTATTTATTTCTTTATTTTTTAGTTTGTCTTTTTTAGTGGTTTTTGTTTTTAATTTTTTTTGTTTTGTTTTTAGTTTATTCATAAACCATTTTTAAGCCTCTTTGGACTTCTAAGCTTTAATGGACTAGTAAGCCTTCCTGGGCTTGCCAAAGTTTCTTGTTTACCGGAGCATCTTCCTATCTTTCCGTAGAGCTAGGACATTTATCTACTGGACTTTAAGAAAAACAAAAGAAATAGAACTAATTGAATTGCACTACTGTTTTACAGACTGGAAAAGTCTCTCTGCAAGCGAAACTGAAAGACTTGTATTTGACTGAGAAGATGAATCTTTTCACTTTTAGATCTTTTGGGGTTTTTAAGTAGAACTTAGGATTTCTAATTGACTTGATTTCTGGAAATGGAAATGCCATGCTTTTATTATGGGAAGCTTTGTTAGATGCATTTATTATTAGAATGGTTCAAGTCCTGCTGTAAAGATCATGTTTTTCCCAGGACTTTCACTGTGATTTTACTTCACTGCAGGCTGTATGACAAAAAAAAAAAAAAAAAAATTAACAAGAGGCTCTTGATTCCTTATGCAAGTGATGGATATGAAACTTGACTGAGGACTGAAAATATTCACCCTCTTAAAATGAGGAGAGGGGCTAGTAGCTTTTGTTTACAGACTGACAGACAATGGACATTTGGTTTGTGAAAGTTTGTACTGTGGTAAAGATAATAAATTGGAAACATTATTGTGCTTGGGAATGTTCCAATTTTAGCTGATGCTTGTTTCAGACATGTTTCAGAGGTCCTGTTAATTGAAAACTATTGTAGGCTACGTTGCTTTGCTTACTGCTGTGTATAAGTTGTTACTATATTTTTTGGATTAGCTATTAATGTCTTAATGCTCTCCTTTTGTAAGATTTCATACACTTTATTTTTGTATAGTTTGAAGATTTAGCTGTTCAGACATGTCTGAAGTAAATGGTATAATTTTATAATGCATACTGTTATACTAACTCATAATTTTAGATATAAAGATAGATTATAAAGGTGAGACTCGACATGCTTGAGATAAAAGCAATTTTTATGTTAAGCTTTTATAGGGAGAGATGAAATTACTATGAGGTAACAAGGAAGCCTTCTTAGGGCAACAGTAGCTAGTTGTTCAAAAACATCTATTTTTTTTTAAACAGTTGGAGACAACAGATGTACTGCTTGAGCAACAGTGCCTTTTATTCAGTTTATTTGAAAATATTAATACTGAGCAGGAATTTCTTTCGAGATATATTCCAAAGAAATAGTTCTTGCTCTAGTGAACACAAGCAATTTACCCAGTGATGACTAAATAGTTTCAGCTCTTCCATAGGGGTATTCTAGTTGCCTCAGTAACAGGTACCACTGCCAGGGACCTGTGATTAGGGGCTCACTTCTTGCCAATAGTACATGCTGTACTGTATCAAAGAATTAATTCACTGACTGCCTAAATTTTTTTCTAGTAAGAAGCCTTCAAAACCTGTAGCTAACTGAAATCAAGTGATACATGTCTTTTCTAGCATTTTCTATTTAGGTTCCACTGTACATAACTGACATGTTAGTTCTGTCCTCGAGAAGTGATGGTGATGTTAACAGAAGCATTTACTGTGACTAGTGAAATGGTTAGAAAACGGGATGGAGACCTTACGTGTGCAAGTACCTTAAAAGTTCTAGTACGTTGATCAGTTCATTAAGAGAACAGGAGGGATCCGGAGTCTTACTATATCAAAGATGATATTGTTTGTCATCTATACAGAAAAGCATAGGAGGAATCAACTGTTTGTTAAAGTCTGGAGAAGAAAAAAAATCGGTGGAGTAGAAAATGATGAGAACGTGACATTTTTCCATTATTCTCTGAATCACCAGATTGAGCAGCTATAGCTGCAGAAAAAGTCATCACAAGATAACAATGCCCTCTTTGAACAAAGATTGTACTCTCTGTACATGCTAGACAAAAAAAGTAGCAGTGATGCAAAAAGACTTGTACCAGAGAACCACCTCAATGCTGAGCCGTCAGAGTTGTAGTTAAAAGCCTGATGAAGTACTTGAGCATTTACAAAGGGAAAAGAGTACATTAAAAAAGTAGGGAACTTATTTTGCCTCCTAAACAGAATAGAGAAGACTACTACCAGAAAAATATTCTGGTTTTATGTATGCATTTGAGAAGGCTATAGCAATAGTTGAATTTAAAGTAAGATCTGAGGTTGCATAGTAGATTTTGCAGTGTGAGGTTTGAGGAACTCTGTCTTTCATTACCAAAGATGATGAAGCGGCATTTTGATACTGAAGAGTAAATATTTACACATGGAAAAAAATATCTGGTACTGAGGAGTGGGAGGACAGCACTTCTTAATCCTGACATCAAAGTTTGGCTTCCCAGTATTTGAGCTTGCCCAAACAGATAAATTCAGTTTTCTGTAGTAAGTATAGCTAAATATTGAAATAGAGATGGTGCTGGGCTCGTAACTGGGTGTGAGTTTAAGTGTTAAGTATCTTTTTACTTTTTAAAATACACAATTTAACTTTCTTCTGGAAAAAAGCAAAGTTATGGTGTTATATGAACAAATCAGATGAGATTATCATAGTGATAGATTTCAGCTTCAAAATGGCAAACATTTGAAGTACAGACTGCACTCAACACTCAGTTTATTACCAGCCGTCCTGTAACTTTATAGCTGCTACTTAATAAATGTTACAGAACTAAAAGCTGAAGTTAATATTATCAGAAATGGTGAATATTGTATGTTGGAGCTAAAACTAATTTTAAGTTCATAGAATTGGGTTTTTTAAAAAATTACTTTAATAGACCCCATGCACATATTGACACCTAAACTCCACAATCTAAGTGACTTGCATTGCTCCTAATATGGCTCCTGTAGAAACGCTCGTTGTCAAAATGTTAGCATCCTTTTGCTAGGGTATGTTGAGAGCACTGAAAGATCCTCACTGACAAACATCAAATCCAGACTTCATGTTAAAGTAGCTGGCACATCTCAGAAGTGAGACGATGTGCTTTAAAAAGTCCTCTGTTTTTCCTCCATTTGCTTAACGGTGTAACTTGAACTGGCTGGCAGACAGAGTCCAGCCAGCATTCCAACCACTAGGATTTCTCTAAGACATGCCAGTCATTTGAGACAATCATCTAGTGTCATCGTCCCTAAATGGCTGAGGACTTCCTAGACTGTAAACTCAGAATAGTTGGGCTCAGAGTATTTTTTTTATTTATTTTATCTTTTATAGTTAAAATCCATGTTCTATTTTTAGTTCTTGAAGTTCTCCAGTATTGTTCAGAAGATGAGGATCTTTGCTTTCTTAAGTATTTTGTTAGAGTCCTTTGTCAGGACAGCAGCCCCTTTGTGGAAACTGCCTAAAAAACCTTCTCCCTGAATAGGTTACCGTTTCAGTCTTTCACCTCTAAAGTGTCAACTGTGTGGTTCTGTATAAAGAAGAAGAAAAAACCCCTCAATTCTTCCAAAACTGATCAAACTCACTTTTACACAATTCTTACCAAAGCTGTGTTGCACTTCTTTCCTAATAGCATAAAAATTTTAGAAAAGGCATTTCTGGTTGCCATGGGGAATACTTTTGACCAGTTTATGATGGACTTCGAGATTAAAACAGTTGATTCTTTTTCCCTGCTCAGTGATGGAATTTAAAATTGCTCATTGGCAGTTCCAGGCATATGTCAACTTTTCCTTCCCCACTTCATTGGTACCTAGGTAGCAGATTACTGCCCATTAGAAAGTGGAAAATTTGCTGAAAGAGGGAAGATTCTCCATCACAGTCAAGGTAATAATATTATAGTAAGAATACAGTTCCTCATTTAGAAGCCTTGAAGATGGTGAAGCCATCTTGGAGGATGGATACTTGACTTCAGTTTTCTTACAGTATTTATGGATGCCAGCTTGAGTTAGGCATTAGCTTACGACTGATTGAAATCCTAAAAAGATAAAATTAATTAGAAATTGAAGCTTTTAAAATATTGCCCTTTTGCTTCCCAATATGTGGGAAAATGGCATGCACAGGAGAGAGATTAGCTTTAATTAGTATTTCTAATACCACCAGCTTTTACAGCTTCAGGATAGTTTCATTCCATTTCCAAGATTCCCTCTCCAGCAGTGTTTACTACCTTAATTGTGTAATGTATGCAAAGAAGCATTTACTTTTCATTTACTTATAAGCAGGGGAGAATGTAAATAAACTGAATGCTTAATTTAAAAAAAAAAATTTTTTTAAAGCCAAATAGAGGAATTACTGGTTCTTGGACCTCTTTACTATTTGCTTATCTCCTTGTGCAATATGTTAAGTAAAGTGAAAACAGTTTTCTAATCTGTTCCAGTTGCACTGACTAAAGTGATGCATTACTATCTCATGTTTGAAACACTGCTTGCTCTGAATTGCTGTAGGCATTTTAATCCTGGATGTTGCATCTTCATTGAATAATAGTTAAGCATACTAAGACTGTTTGATTCTAAGTGCTGGTAAACTTCTCCACTAAAACTTAAACACAGTTGTTGGTATAACCAATAACCAAAAAAGGCTTTTGCAAGTAGAGTTTGACTGGCTGAGAGCATGCAAATGTTTAGGTCACCATTCTTTGAGGCTTCAGTAGCAGTCCGACAGTGTAATACACATTTTCAACAGATAACTTTCCCTTCCAGCCCTATAGAGATGGTGCTGATCTGAAACTCCACTTAGTCCTCTATTACATAAACATAATGCACTAATTCATATAAATTGTAACGATATTAACCTTTAAACTGTTATTCCCATTTGCTCTTGCATCTGACATTACTTAAGCAAGATGTCAGTACTGATCAGTCCACTTCAGTCTTTCAGAAATAAAATGGATTTGGTTTACCTTTTTTCTCTACAACTTTGAATCTCAAGTTTACCAAATTATGTGTGTGTTCTGTGTATTTAATGCTTCACTGAAATGAAAGTGGGAAGGTTGGTCTCTGTTTAGATGTTAAGGAAAGCACATTTGAGCAGGGTAAAAAAAAGTTCATCTTGCTCATTGCAGAGGATGAAAAAGAGTTCAGAGGTATTTCATCTGCTTTAGAGTCAGAAGACTAAGGAGTGCTCACTACTTACATTGCTGGAGATGAGAGGTACATTCAATCTCAAAGCTTTCAGATCCGTAACTCTTCATCCCAGAAGAACCTTTTCTTTTTTAGACATACTCAGCAGGGCATTACTTTTGTATTTCTCTTCCATTTTTGACCCAGCATAAAATTTGGTAGTTATAGAACTGGTGATTGCTAGACCTCAGAGCAGTTTCAGATAACGATTTTAGTAGTGTGTTTTAAAGTCAATTTTGGTTTAATATGTGCTAAAGACATCTGAAATAAGACTTTCTCCTTCACATTCCTTTTATTTTAATTATATGGAGTTCTTTGTGATCCCTCTACTGTTAAAAAAATAAGCAGGTACTGATAGTTGATTCATATTCATGTTTAGAATACAGTATTTTTTTTTTTTTCAGCTGAGAATTGCTACTAGATAAGTGGTAGATAGTTGCTTTTTAAAGGCTAGATCATGGTTGGATATTGTTGTAAAAACACTGCTGTACCTCAGTTGAACTAAGTACAGCATTGACTGGTGCAATTTGTATATGAGTGATAAAGTTGCTATTTTTAAATCCTCCTGTGTTTTTTATTTGTATCTTGATGCTGCACAATTATTTTCAGACTTGAATTCACTTAAAATTAGGGTCAGTATATCCAGTCCTACAAAAGTCAGTCTTCAGTTTTCAGCCACCAGACTGTTCGTACTGAACTGAATTAAAATCTTGAATATTTGTACTAGCTTATTAGCTTGTTAGGTGGTAAAGTGGTTTCCTGGAGGTCTTCAGGTGGAAGGCAGAGAACTTCTGAAGTGAACCAGGTAACCTGTATTTTTTATCAGCTTTCAAATCCATCTCCCAATAAGACCGAGTCTCCCCAGGGGAATGTAGTTGTACTTACTGCTTTGAACTTTGTAGTTAATTATATTTGGCTATCTAATTCTAATAACTTGCATGTGCGCTGTGCTTGCTTGCTTTTCAATAGCTGATGAAAGCTATAGGAGATCTTGGGGGTTTGCTTAAAAAATTGATGTTTAAAAAGAAAAAAAAAAACTGGCATGATAAATCTGTCAGGCTGTGAACTGACTAGAACCAACAAAGATCCCAGCTTTTTGTTTGAGAATTGTTTAAATAGTTCTTTATGAAATTAATTGGGTATCATGTGTATTTTCACATTGCTTTCCTCCAAGCAACAAAAATAATTAAAATACCCTACGTTTCAGCAAGGCTATTTGGGAGATGTCTTGCCCTGGTTTTATTTTTAATTTAAATAACACTGAGTTGTAGTGAGTGTTCAGCATATTAATGCCTGACTTAAAAGATTAGCAGAATTTGAATGACTTGCATTGTTTTGTTTAATTACAGCTTTATAACAGTGTAGATATTTGCATAAAGCCTGTCATTTGATCTAGGTATGTTTCAATGACATAGCAAGAAGAGGACCAAGACAAGTAAATATGTGCACAATTTAAACCTTACTTAAGATGCTTTACTGTTCTGGGAAGAGATGTTGTTCTTCATGCAGATTCTGCTCTTCCTCTGTTTGCTCTTAGCTTCTGTTTGTTTTCATTAGTTGAACTAAAATAAGAAACAAAGCCCTCAGACTGACTAGTTTCTGTCTCTCTAATATATACACACTGTACTTGCTTTTAACCTCATCTACTGCATGTTGTTAATGCTGTACACAAATGCAGTTGGAGTATTTCTTTGGTGTTGTACAGCATGATGCATTTCATTCCCCATTCTATTTTACCTCCCATTAGCTATATATTGCTTTACAACTGGAAAAAAATCCTGAGTTTTTGGGAATTTAGTCTGTTTGCATATAAAAAAATCATTTTTTTTTTTCCTGTGAGTCTTATGAGAAATGTCCTGCTTGGAGAGTCTCAGACAGTATTTTCCTGTGTTTATTCATGTTACTTTGCTTTATTTTATAAGTGGATATTGATTTTTGATGTGTTGTTACACTTAATGTTGAATAAATCTGACTTCCGTTTTGAAAAGTGAAACTGTGTTAGTGAAAATGTTATGTAATGTTAATTCATCTTAGATTATTCCCAGAGTATATAAATTTTTATTTATTTAAACTTTGGATAAATTTTTATTTGTTCTTCTTAGGATTCTGGCCAGTATTGGTTTGCTTTGTGTTATTATTAAAGCTTGACATAAATATTACTGGGAAGGAAAGGGTGGATACAGTTTTGTTTGGCAGCTAGGGTGCTACAGTTAGGCTTGGAAATCCTGAATCTTACTGCTTTTGCTTGAAAACGCCTTTCTGAGTTTAAGTTGCTTCATATTTTGAAGATTTGGGATTTTGTGTTTTTTCTTCTGAACAAGGTGAAAATACTTTCCAAATGACTTGGAATAATGCATAGCCTTGGGATTTTGAGTGTGAGGATTAGTTTGAGGGCCTGTGGCTCTACAAAAAAAAAAAGTCCTTGCTGCTATTTAATATTCCTTTTAACATGTAGCAACTCAGAATGAAGAAGCACTAGCTTTGCATCAAAAAGAGCTATTTAAAAGTGGTTTCTCTTGTAACCAAAAGTCCCACCTATGTGGAGATGACAAGATTGCAGTGAGATAAATGACAACACAGGTGTGGACCATGGGATCAATGTGAACCATGCTTAGAAAATTTATAGCTCAAAATAAATTAGTTTTTCCTGATAAAAATAGGATATTGGAAATTCAATCTGTATATAAATTATTTTCAGTTGTAATTGTCTAACACAGCCCTCTTCAGAAGCAATAATTGGTTTGTGTGAGTTGGTCACTGGTTTCACTACAGTTGTCCTTAACGTTCTTGATTAAACAGTGTTAACTTAATCAATGGAAAGAGCACGTAGGCTGGCAAAGTCTAAATCAACTCTGAATCTTCAGAGATCTAAATGCCTTTCTGTTGGTGACCTACTAATAATTTCTCCTGAAAAATTGGATTGAACTATTATAGCACAGCTTATAAAAAATATCTTATTTTACTGCAAGACTTGGCACCCAAGCAAGTGGAACATAGACCATTCTAATTCCATGGGCTGTTACTGAGCTTTGCTTATTTAACAACTTCAGCAAGTTGGTATTTATTAAGTTGCTGAAGTCAGGTTTGGTTTTGTTTGCTTTTTTTTTTTATGTTTTTTTTTTTTTTTTTTGTTTTGTTTTGGTTTTTTTTTTCTTCTTAAATGAACTGCCTTTGATTACTATTGAATCAGCCTATTTCTTTACCCTGACAAATTTAGGCTTTTAAACTGACAGTTTTACCAATTGCACTGGGTGATAGCATTGCTTGTGAAATTCTGTAGCATCCTACTTGCCTTCAGTGAGATGGAGAATGTGGAATAGGGTTGAAATGGGGCAGGAAATCTCTTACAAGGTCTGTTGGGTGTTGAGCTGTTCCTAGGGATAGAGTGCTCCTGGTTAAGCCCTTCTGGGTCAGTTTTGTAAAGGCCTCCCATACTCCCTGTTCTTTTTGAGTGCCTTGTGAGGATGTGATAAGTATCTGCTAATTCGGCTATACAGTGGAAGATATTTCTTTATTCAAAGAAGTAAAGTTTAGCCCAGTTCCCTATCAGCTTAATGCTGCTCTACTTGTCTGCTTCAATTCTGTTTCTCTCCTACTTCTATACTTAAAATTATCACTTTTTCCTCAGTGTTTCCAAGAGGAAGTTAAATGGAGAACTCATGAATCTAAAATGTAAATCTAGTTAAATTCTGAAGGCCAAGATTTGTCTGCATTCTAAGTTGTCTTATCTTCCAGCTACTGGCTGGTGATAGTCTGGAAGTAATTTCTGAACATCATGCTGGATTTCCATTTGTTCTGTATATGAACGTTTTATAAATGTACTGATTCTCCGTTTTTTCTCATTGGTTTTATACAGAGGAGGCTTAGCAAGAGGAAAATAATACAGACATTGTAAGTTGCAGTTACAGCATGTGGGTGAGAGAATTGTAAATATATGTGTGGGTGAAGAGGCTGGGGACAGGGGCATGGGGGAAAGAGTATACCATTACGTGTTTGTACTCAGAAATGCAGAAGTCTTAAAGAATGATTGGAAAGATGAAGTATATGCTGAACCAGTCTTTTTCTCTCCACCATCCCTCCCCAACTCATGGTCTCATGAAATATACTCTGTTTTTAAGGTGTAGAGATAAAATTCTAAAGAGGATTGTGAATGAAAGTGCTGCTTTGTGGAAAAAATACCTGTTCTCCTTTCCTTTCTGCTTAACGTATAGAATGTGTTAATCTTTTTGTAGCAATTTTAGAAAAAAGTTTGAGAAAGATAAATAAAACACTGGAAATAACATTCTATCTCAAATGGTATATAATGTTATCTGCTAAGAATGCTCCTAGATAGATGACTACCCTAAATGTCTGCAAGAAAAATAACCCAACCACCAAACCCTGTGGTGTTTAAAACATTTTCTTTTTTTTATAGAATACTGCTGCTTAGTTAGAGCATCTAGCAGCCTGGAAAACTGTAGTTTACATTGCCAGAGATTTTGATTAATTTCTGTCTAGGGTGGAAGCAGCAGCAGAGACATAAGAAACACTTGAGTTTTGCTGAAAATTGATACTGTATTGCCAGTACCTAGCAAAGGGCATCCGAATGTGGACTTTTTCTAATGAGGATCATGACACTTTAAAAAGTCCTTCCATTCAAATGATTAAGCATTGCTGAATTGTTCAGCCAAAGGTGTGCTTGAACTGTGTAGTTTCTGCTGTGATATATGTCTACAGATTTGTAAATAGCAAAACCTCCAAATTTACTACGTAGAAGTAAAAAAAAAAAAAAACAAACAAAAAACCCAAAAAAAACAAAAACCCAAAAAACCCAAACTAAACCCCAAAACAAAACAAAAAAAAACCCCACCAAACCAACCAAATCCCCAAAACCTCAGTTGAGAAACTTCCAATAGGAAAGAATACATCCTTTTAAGATAAGGTTTTCTAGTGTAAAATAGCTAAATATAATGACTAGTTGTATATCAGTGATCTTGATTTCTTTTGATAAGCAGCTTGACCCATCACTCCCAGTGTCTATGTCAACATGAAGTTATGTTTTAAAGTAAATTTGACTTCTTTTTGTCATTTGCGTAATGAGAAGAAAAGTTTCTGCAGTGCAATTTATGCCCTTAGGTGTACCTCTGCAACCTCTGTTGTCTAAATCAGGCCTGGGATACCTCTGCTGCTTTGCTGTTGTCCATGTATCTCCTCATGTTACAGGCAAACCTAAGTTTATTGGCAAAGTTCAAAGTTTTTGTTGGAATTTTGTTTTGTCGAGCCTGGGATACTTAATTCCTGGCAGGTCTAGCCAGAGCTACTGGGCATTGCTAGCGATCACATGTCTGAGGCAACTGCTGTAGCTACTCAGTGCCATTGCTAATATTAGCCATAGACAACTATATTAGTTGAGATTTCTGCAGGGACTGGAGAAAATTCTCATTCACCAGAATACTGAGACTTTTTCTATTTAAATCATGCCAATATAAATGAAGAAAAAGCCTTGAAGGAGCTCTAGTTACTGCAGTCTTGAATCAGGTTATTTTCTTGGAAAGAAAAAAATATTACTTTAACATCCCAAAGTAGTGTGAATAAATGAAAACATAGTTCCTCTTTCAAAGGACTACAAGAGTGTTTGTGACAGCAGCTAAGAGTTAAGAAACTGAAAGGAGTAATATGCTTGCATAGCTGATGGGAACAGTGAAGGCACCGCAAGACTCCACATTAGATTTATCAGTATTTAACCCCATTAAAGATTGGAAAGACAGAATGTGTATAAACAAGTGTAGAAGAATGATTAGATGATCAGTTTTGATAAATGTATGTTAGAAATGTCAACTGTTTTATCCCTAGAATACTCTATATGTAATTTAGAACTTGGGAAAGAGACTTGGCAGCCCAATATAGAATTTGGTGTTGAGCTGCTAAATCAACTTGAACATGCATGATGCAGGATTGGAATCTGATGTGTAGAAAATACAGTGATAAAGATATTTAAAGTATGGCCTGTTGTACAAGCTAATAATTAGCTGCCATGATACTGATTTCTCTTATAAGAGCTAACTTTGGTCTTTTTCAGTCAATTGTATTGAGAGATTTGTGTACTCTTCAGCATTAGAACAAGCTAAAGAGAAAACCAAACCACGCTCCTCCGCATGTCTGAAGAGATTCCCACTGTTCAAAGGCCGCATTAATAACACTGAATGGTAATAATTCGAGAATTTTCTGGAGATCCTGTAATTTAAAAATAAAAGTCTTGCAGGAGTCCTGTGAAGGGGAAACTGCACAAAAGCAGAGACTCCTGCTGGCATTTTCTCTTTTCCCATGCCTTGCTCCTGAGTGTATAGCAGAGAATACAGTTCTGCTGCTTATGCTCCCCATTTTATCTAGAGCTGTTGAAATTAAGTGTAAGATCCCAACAACACATTCATTCCTTTCTCTAGATTCTCCTAGATATGCCCTTTGCCAAACTTGGGAAGAATGTTTACCCCTCTGTCATACACATCTGTAGGTAAAAAGTGATGTATTTTGGTTCAGAGGATCATCTTGCCTTTTTGGCTTCTGCCAGATCTTTCAGTATTCCTTTGGAACCAAACTGTTCAGAGATTTGTATGAAAATAAGTCAGCCTTCCTTGGCACTAATTGGCTGCAACTGCAAAGGCTATTTTGGATTTGTATCTACTGTAGTTAAGAATTCTCAAGTGTCCTATTTTTCAGGGGAGCTCAGACAAACCTATTATCAAAGAGCTATGACTGATTTTTGTTGCATTACAACCAAATGTTAATTTTCTTCTTTTGTTCTGGAGGGAGAAGGGGGTGTATGTTTTCCACCCCTTTAAAGATGCTCTTCATCTCCAAGCACTGTGTAAGCTGGCATATGCTAAATTCTGAACATCAATGGAGAAAGCAGCACTGTAATTCACACATTTTGATTTGACAGCTAGGTCGCAAATATGCTAACGTTCAACTTGTTGGTTATTATTGCTGCTCCTTTTCACAAGGGAAAATTAGTAT